ATGCAATCTGTTTTTTGTCTTAAACTCAAAAGCCGAACACAGGAGAAGTGTTTAACTATATCCACATATACAATGAATTGTATACTTTTCTAAGTACTTTTAGCGGTGAAATATCCTATTAAAACGTTAGCAGTTTTATTTAGTAATTGAAACCATAACCTCAAATCATAAAATGTGTGTATGTGTATGTGTGTCTGTGTCCACATCTGCATCTGTCTATGCACCTGTCTGCATGTGTATGTGGTGTAGAGAGAGGGATATAGATGTAAGGCTTTAACTCCCCTGTGCAAATTTAACTCTTCACCTGAAGTACAGATAATAAATAGGTGAGTAGACACATGTATTCTCTGATTACCTCAAGAGGTTTGGGGGCAGGAATGGGCTAGGGCCAACTGTGGCTGAGTCCCGGGGATGTCTTGCTCATCTACCATCACTAAGCCCCGATGTGGTTTTCAAAGAAATTCAAATCTGGGACTGAGAACTTCAAAGGAGGTTGGAAGAACATGGGAGGCGCCAAGAAACATCTGTGCAGGGTTAAGAGGTTCTTGACACTGAAAGTCAACGAGGAGCTAGGAGGCCAATGGCCAATGAGCAGACAGCGAGAGAGAAGAGAGAAAAACGAAGGGATGAGTTAAAAGCCACCGAAAAACCAGGGGCTGAGGGAGGTCACCATAGAAGGTGAGTGCTCTGTGTCTGGATGTCCCCTACATTAACTGATGACCTCGGTCAGCACCAGCCTTTTCTTGACCTGTGTGTTTTTATTTTGTATGTTTTATTTTACTTTTTTTGAAAAGGCATACTGCAGGGTCTGCCCAATCACTGAGATAGGAGAACTTGAAAGTGATTTGAAAAGTGTAAAAGAACAATATAAATGATGAGAAATTTATTGTTCTATTGCTCTACTTTTAACACATATGAACCAGACGATTAAAATCCAATGACAATTCAATGGCATTGAAAGAAAAAAAATGATATAGTGACATGATATCAACTAAATAAAATTAAGTAGTTCCATTTTGCTCAAACAAGATAAGGGGGCTATTGACAAAGTGCCGAACTTTGTAAAAATTTCTGTAATTATTCAGATAACTTTAGTTCAATTAAAAATTATAGCTGACCCTTGAACAACGCGGAGGTTAGAGGTGCTGACCCACGCATTCAAAAACTGCGTATAACTTTTGATTCCCCATGACTTAACTACGAATAGCCTACTGTTGACCAGCAGCTTTAACAATAACATAAACAGTATTTTATAGGTTAAATGTCTTATATACTGTAGTCTTACAATAAAACAAGCTAGGGGAAAGAAAATGTTAAGAAAATCGTAAGAAAGAGAAAAGACATTTACGCTATGTATGGAAAAAAATCTGTATGTAAGTGGCTCTGTACAGTTCAAACCCATGCTGAATAAGGTCAACAGGGCCCACTGTGCTTCTGAGAGAGAGGCTTTTCAGTGAGCTCATTGGATTTTGACTATGTTTTCTATATAACATCTATCATGGCTGCTCAGATCATTTTTCACACCCTTTGAGATTCTCAATAAATGAGAAAGATCACTAAGCAAGGGGAGGGCGGAGCTCCAGACACAGATGCTGGTAACAGTCAGAGAGATGACAGGGTGCCAAGGAGGCACAGAGGAGAGCTTGGGCATGACAAGGGCCAGGAAGACAGAATCCTGGTCTGAGGGGGACAGGATGGGTGGGTGCTGGGCAGGCAAACGTGGAAGGAGTTAGAAATCAGGTAGGAGGGACCCACAGGCAGAAAACCAAGGACGGACAACAGGATGAAAGCAAGCCAGACCACTACCTGCAGAACATCACGAGAAGTTTGGTGTTGAATGGAGACCAGCCTGGATCACAGAGAGGCATGAGATGCTGCCACCCAGGAAAGCTGAGGCCTAATCGCTGTGTATGCCAGATAAAGGAGCTCAGATTCTATGCCAGGGGCTACTGGCGGTTTGTAAACCAAGAACTGGCATTTGCTAAGTTATGTGTTTTAGATGTATTGTTGTGTCTATGCTGATACAGAGATACCAGTTAATAAAGTACTGCAAGGGTCCTAGCAAAAAATGGTAAGGGCCTAAAGGAAGAAAGTCATATAGTAGTGACTTGTAAATATTTAAAACGCATATACTTGATATTTGCTAAGAGAGTAGATCATAGAAGTTCTCACCACAAGAAAAAAATATTTGTAACTATGTGAGGTGATCGATGTTAACTGAACCTATTGTGGTAATCACAAATGTATAATATATACATTTATCAAATCGTTATGTTGTTGTACACCTTAAACTTATACAATGTTACATGTCGATTACAGCTCAATAAAACTGAGGGGGAAACCAAAATATCTAGCAAAACATGCTTGATGAGATTTTTGTCAGCAATCGATCATTTGCTTGAAATAATTAGTTTGCTTGTTTTTAATAGCATTGATCAATTAACAAATGCCTGACAACAATTTATACCTGTGCTACTCAGTAATAACATAAAACTCCATAGGCTATCATGAAAAAATATATATGTATATACACATATGACACTGTAATTGATAATAGAAAAACATTTAAAAAGGAGCCAGGGAGAGAAAGGCGTTGAGAGAGAAAACTCATGGAGAGAAGTATTTTCTGGAATAGTTACTTAAAAGTAAAGACATGGCTCCTTAGGCACAGTACACATAACAAACTCAGTAAATAAGCATTTATTAAATAGAATTTTTAAATCATGATATGATTTCTCCCTGCTCCATCCCCTCCAACACTGAGGACTTCAGCAGCATCACACAAGATAACGAATGTTCAAATGCTCTCTATTTCTGATATCAGCTTATGCCGAAATCATGGTCAACAATGAAAGTATAATGGCTATTATGGATAATTCTCTTTCAGTTACTTTTAACAGTAGGTAAAATCAGGCAGCATTATAGAAAATAACATCAGGAAAGGAAAACGTATGAAAATTGCTAATCTTAACAGCAAGAAACAAACAAAAAACCCCATAAAGTTAAATTAACATGACTTTTTCCCCCTTGCTTCCCAAAGATAGCATGTGAAAATGGGGCTTAGAAATATCCTGAATATAACAGCAAGATAAGAATTCAAAATACAGTGTGTGTGTGTGTTTTACCCCTTAAACTGACTGACCATTGAGGAGGAAAATTTATAGCACAGTGAAGCTTTAGTGATATAATAACACTTTTTTTGACCTCTACGAAGTAGCTTATTATCAAAACGTGTCCTCTAGTCTCTGGAAAGTACTGGGGATACATAGAGATGAGAAAGCAGATTTAAGGTACACTTTAAATTGGTTAAGGTGAGACAATTCAACTTGTTTCTTCTTTTCTTCCAAGCTTAAAAGAAATACAATCACAATGGCGCCTTCGTTCTTGCTATATTAACTAGGAATGTTCTTAGCTTTCCAGGGCCTCTGTAATCTCAACCAGACAGCACGTACAAGGCCCTCACTGCCAGGGCCTGTTCAGGCACACGCACCTGACCCCCACACTTGGCTGACCAACGTTCCCGACACACAGCCGCTCTGCTCCTGACAGCTTCTCATGGCCCTGCCCAGGGTGCTCAGCCCTCTTCCCTGAGTCAAATCCATTCCTACCGTACTCAAAAGTGCTCAGCTCAGGCATCCATTCGCTCAACTGTGTAGTAAGCACCTACTATGTGTGCATGTGTATGTGTGGCGTGCACTCGTGTATGTTGTGTGTGTGTGGCGTGCACTCGTGTATGTTGTTTGTGTGTGTGTGTTTGTGTGGCGTGCACTCATGTATGTTGTGTGTGTGTGTGTGTGTGTGTGTGTGTGTGGCGTGCACTCGTGTATGTTGTGTGTGTGTGTATGACTTATCTATAACAAAGTAATCAGAAGAAATAATTCTTCAAAGTTAGAAATAACAATTATGCGTGATTTGCAGACTATGGGGTTTGTTGAAAGGTGGAGACTCAGCAGTGACTTAGGTCCTCAGTGGGCTGACTGGAAAAACAGTGATCCCACCAGCAGGAAATAAAAACTAATGCTAGGAAGGATAGTGCGAGTGCTGTGCGTGTGTCCCACAGCATGAAACTGGGTGTAAGGGGTCAAGAAAATCGTGACCTTGATGGGAAATTTATTCAGACTGAAGTAGAACTACCCTGAGAATGCCTGAATAGGAAAATGGCCACCTGTCCAAACGTCTGATCCAGTTCCAGCTACAGTCAAAGAAAGCATTTTCCAACTGCACTTCCTTTACAAGTAAAAACATGAATTACTGCTGGACAGAGCATGAGGCAGTCTTCCAGGCCTGCTTTTACTATGTAAAGTAAATGATTGAAAACTATTTTGAACGGCATGTTTATTTTAAAAAATGCATCAGAATCCTTTTACTGCCAATGATGCAAAAATCAGACTAAAGATAAATGCTGATGCCAAAATTCACCTCTTAAATTTACTATGTGATTTATTGCTATTTGCTAGTAAGGTAGTTACATTTCAATCTTAAGCCAAAGTACATAAATAGCATAGGTTGTTATTTTTAAATTAAATAAATTCTGTTGTCTGCTTATAAAAGAAAAGGCATTTTAGTGTCTTAGTTTCAAAATTAATCTTAGAAAACAGAACTTTAATACAAACTTACCTCATACTTGTAGATATTTAAATATGCTATACATTTACTATTATATTTAAATACCATTCTTCTGCTTGCAATTCTTTACTATGTAAATTTCTATTTCTTAAATTATTTTTAGTTCCAGTATGCTTTTTAAGAAATCAAATATTCTGTAATTTCCTTTTTTAATAATACGGTCATTTTATTTTTAAGAATTTAGACATTTGTTAAATAATAACATATTTGACTCTAATTTCTAGGAAAAAAATTTCAATATCAGATCCTGAAATACTGTGAGGAAAGTTTGAACTATCAGATCCTGAAATGCTCTAAGGAGACTGCCTATTTGGTTTTGGTTGTTTGTTCTCCTCACATGTGTTTTTATGGTGTACTAAAGAAACCAGTCTCACCTGTTTTTGATTGTAGGTTTCTTCTTGGTTCTTCAGGGGCCTCAATTGGCTGATCAGCCAGGAAAACTCGAGCTTGGTCTATAGCATTCAGGACAGAATACTCTTTCTCCTTTAACTCACGTCTCAGCGCCTTTGCAAAGAAAAGTAGAAATTGACTTTGTAAACTCATGTGTTCACCAAGGAATGGAACATCTTAAATTAGACCTCTTCTGACCACACTTGTCAAGAGGATGACTAATAACCAGCATTTAACCGAGGTTAGAAGTAAAAAATGTAAATTTTACACCTATGAATGATGAAACAAATGACTAAAAGCAAAAAGATGATTCTTGTAGAACTTAAATATGCAAAAAAAAAAAAAAGACACTTTACAATATTCACCTAAAGGAAACTGTTACAGTATATTTGCATTTACACAAAATGTGCTTTTAGGGTTATCACTGCTGTCAGATTGCTAAAATATAATAGTCTGTTCTAAGACACTTTTTTCTAAGAAGACTGACAAAAACTATGACATCCCATGGTACAGATGAGGTAATTTCACAAGTAGTAATGAGATCCTCAAAAGTATTTTACATTCTTTAGACTATATTAAGAAAAAAAAAAGAGAGAAACAAATTAAAGTACATGAAATCAAAACTAAACCAAAGAAAACACATAAAAGACAGTCTCCAATTATCTTAAAATATTTTCCATCTCTCATGCTGAGGCAATTAGCATTTTTCCCTTGTGAGGTTTTTCATGAAAATCAATGATTCTCAGAACAGTTTGTCTTCCGTACTTTTGTTCTATTAACTAGGGTTAACTTCCACCCCTGCTCCTATAAAATGTTTGGTGATTAAGACTCTAACTGACTAGAATTTCAAAACAACAAAACTCAGCCAGTGACTACTGCAAGATAAATCAAGATTTTCTCATATGCTCTTCTAATGCAGTAACTATATCAAAATGTTGTTAATACTGTTATCCTCTTAAATTATGCACAGACACACCTACTGGTTCTAATAGTTTGCTTTTATTGCAGTTCCCCGACAAACACATCATGAAATTCTTTTTTTTTTTTCTAGAACATAACACTCTAGTAGCATTTTAGAATCGATAAAGTCTTTCCTTCTGAATATAACTATTGTTTTTAATAGCATTTGAAATAACTATGTTGGGATGATTAGGTATTTCCAGGCTAAGCCCTCATCTTCCACAGTAAATAAAAAGTAAACATTAAAAATCTAGAAATACCAAAATATTCATCCGATGTAAAAAATTGGAGCTGAATACAAGACAACACTGGTAATGAAGCTGAAAAAGACCATGAGGGGCGGGGCGGCATGAGAAGGGCTGATGAGTAGACAGAGATGGAGTGACGCAATGCTGGTTTTTGTGATAAGCGCTGTAAATATTTTTGACTTTTAAATTGTGTACAGTTACGACTTTGATTAAAAATTTAAACTAAAAGAATAAAAGTATACACCAACCCACAATTTACATGTAGTAATCAAGGGCAGGATATGAGATGTAATAAACCTGTCTCTAAAATCTATAGATAACATTTATGTGTCCTCCCTAGCATCTATATAATCAAAGACTGACCGTGAAGCAAGCACAAGGCAATACATTCTCAGATCAATTATTACCTATGAGCATGAAATAACTGATGGTGGGGAAAGCGACAAAATCTCCACCATGTCTATTTAAGAAATTCAACTTGTGAAGAAGTCCCAAGGTATGACACTGCAGGAAAACAAGATGGTCTTCTGACATTGAGAGTTTCTGATATACAGAAATAAAGAAGACAGAAAAATGGGGAAATACATTTTCAGAAGTACGCACATAGACACACACACACTTATAGGTGTTGAGTCAGTTCTTTCTTTGACAAGATTACTGTTAGAGCAAGAAGCTCCAGACGAATGAAAATACTCCTAGTATTTACTTTCAAAACCACCTAGAAATTTGAAATAATGATATGAGAAAGCATGTTGCCTAAAAGATAAAACAGTAGGTAATGTAGCAGACGGTTTCTAAAAATTTGAATGGTCAAGAGTATTTATCCCTCAAGCCCAAACCCGACCAATAAATGTGGGAGCAGTAAAGATTTTTTCAACGATGGGCAAGGGCTGTGCTAGATTTCTTCTTTTTGAAAGGGAAGTTTCAGGAATACACCTATTGAAAATAAGCTGCTAAGGAGAAGATGAAGGAGCTAGAAAAACACCTCGTCAGTCTGGCTTATCAAAGAGGATGAAGAATTCACAGCCAGCGTTTAGAGACATGGCACAAAAGAGAACCCAGCAAGCACCAATTGGATGATGATGTGGAAGGAATTTAAAAACTGAGAGAAGACAGAACATAAAGGAATGTGACACAGAGAAGGGAGAGCAGAAGCAATACTGGTCCTCAGGAAACCTAACATGATTATGGGGTACATATTTCACAGAGGGTGAATCCAGGTCTTATGCTGGAGAAAGAAGATAATATTATGCAAACAACTTAGTAATTTCTGTACAGTAATTTCTAACTGGGAGTTCTGGCTTAGTCCTCAAAGTGTGCACTGGGGAGGGGTTTGGGGACAGGGGATAGCAAAGGGAGATTTCTCTTGAAACTATTTTTAGAATTTCAAAAATCCAGACGGAGATATAGAGAGAGACAGAGATAGAGATAGACAGACAGGCTGACAGACAGATAGATAGATGATAGGTAATTTATCTACAGGAAGGAAAAGTGGGAACATTGACCTATCAACTTCCTTGGCTAAAATTTTATCAATTTAACAGGAATGGTCTCACAATGGATCATTTCACTGGCTGGCAGCTGGCTCTGCCTGGAAAGCTCTTTACATGGCAGACTTCTCATCCCATGGAGCCCTCTCAATGAGGCTCAAGCACCCACCTTATTTAATGTAGCATTCCACCTTTCCACTACATTTCCCATCCCTAATGTACTATACTAGGTAGGTATTTAAGTACCATGTTTATTGTTTTTTGTCTGTCTCTCCTCAGATAAAATATCTCCACAAGGCCAAGGACCTTTTCTGTGGTAAACAAGGCCCCCACGTCAGTGCCTTGGGACCCAGCAGAGCTTAGCTGGCTCCGAAATGCTTCCGGGTGGACGTGGTGAAGAGAAGGGCACCCCCAGCAGAGAAAACTAAACACTAGCAGAAGAGTAAGCGAGTATGGCATCGTGTGCACTCAGGGCACTAAAAATATTTAGTGTATGTAAAGCAGCAACAGCTGAGTTGAAGAGGTGGGCAGATCCAGGTCACAAAGACCATGTATGGTGTCCTAAGCGCCTGCGACTCTACCCGGAATGGGCAGTGGGAAGCCACTGAAGGGCTGGAGAGGGGGCTGGGGGTGAGGGGGG